ATCGTGAAAACCTATATATACAAGCAGAGTGAGCTCTATTAGCTAAATAATCTACCGCTTTATTACATTGCATATAAATATGAGAGAAGCGAATCTCCCAATCTTATTTTTTAGAAGTTGCTCCACCTGCTTGGCCAGAGTATAGAACCTCTCGTTGCCATAACACGTCGAGCTGAAGAACAGGTATGCCGCCATAGAATCGATTTGCAGGTGAACCCTTCTGTATCCCATGTTCCACGCAAGCTGGAGCCCATGTATTGCAGCTTTTGATTCTTATCCCAACATCTTGCAATGGACTATTAGCGAGAAGTAATTATCGTTCTATATTCTTTCTCGTATGATCATTTACTAATGTACGCGTTTGTTAGCTAGACTTCTCCTATGTACTTACACGTGTATATATATATATACCATAACAATCGTTAATTCAAGGCCAGCTGGGAAGTGTATTCTAGTTTTGTTCTTTTTCACGGAAGAACACTGGCCATGAACAAACTGGACCCAGTGGCAAACTGCCAAACCTTAGCTCTCTCTCTATATCTTCTTCTTACTCTTCGATCATCTTCATCACAATATAATGCATGGGTATGGACTATAGAGAAGGGGGGACAAGTGGTAATGGGGAGATCCAAGGAGTCTGTGTCTTGTGGTCGATCACGAAATTAAGACCACAGCAGGATCATGAGGTTGACAATAACACATGAATGCTTCAAATCAATGCCTCTTTGATGACAAAAATGGGATTGGACCACTTTTGGTTATATATAGAGCGATCGAAGTTTGACATGCATCCTTCTCTGCCACTCCATTTAATAAAAAGATCGTCCTTCAATTTGATCTCCCCATTTCCCTTTCGTTTTTCCTCCATGATATTTGCTTGTTGCGTTCCTCCCTAGTAATTTCATACGGCATTTGGTTCGATTTTGGTTGTCCGCCACTATTCTGAATTCCCAAATACTTAATGGTCAGTACTTACCCATTCGTCGATGGAGGTGTCATAAATCTTACACGCCCCCTCAAATGAAAACCAATCAATGGGTTTGAAATTTACACAGACGATCATCATACCTTGTGCTATAATCAAAAGTTAATATTGGGGGTCGTGGAGATTCGAACACACAACCACTTGGCCAAACCAACTCTGATACCATGTCATAAACCAACTAGTCCCAATAACTCGAGCTGTTGGGATCGAGAAGGTTAGCATGGATCTTATACCACTATCTAAGAGGAGGCAATGAGAGAGTGGGATGGACGCCGAAGTGAATAATCATGAATACCATATGATAACGCCAAGCTAAGCAAGCAATCATTCCAACAAAGTTATTATTATCAGGAAAACCCACTCCATGATTATACTAATTATATATCAACCCAAATGATGAACGGAGACTAAAAAGAAACTGTTACGTTAACTTGGCCTACAACCTAAGGTTTGTTTGCTGAGGGGGGAAAGTAAAGTCCACAAAGGACAAGATCCCCTCGTCGATCGGCTCCTTATATTAGCCGTTCGTTGTTAACTGTTTCATCGGAAAAGAGAATCACCAAAGTCCAAACCCTACGTCCGTCGCGCCTCTGTCTCATGGGGCCGGCCGGTCAATTCCGGTTTTAAGCCCCGATTTGAGGTCGCCATCGGTGGATCGATAACACCGCATATTGTTGTTAGGTGCTTGCTTCATTGCTTGCCTTGTAGCTAGCTAGTAGGATAGATCGTGGTTGTGCCGACTGCCGACCTTTTTGTTGTTATCTTGTCATCATGTTACTATGCTTAGTTGTTCTCTAGCTAGTTCCTAGGACCTAGGAAGTGGTAGATGTGGGAATGGGAAGTGTGTCTTGCGGTCATAGGATTAGGGAAAGTCGTTAATATATATTACCTATTTCAAACCCGGCCACTTCATGCATCAATCAAAGGAAAGATTGATTCTGGTTACTTGGAAAATGACTCTACTCTTCTAAATTAGTCTGGAGAATTAGATTAATGCAGATGGCTCTTTTAAATTAGTCAAAACTTAAGTCCTTTGTTCCTTTTATACTCTTGCTTCTTCTTTTTTTTTTTTTAGATTTTCCAATCAACATAACACCTGAATTCAAGATTAAGTGCTATCACAAAATTACATATCCTAGCTTTCATCTTGTTGAGCCTACTTGCTAAATATTATTAATTCATTAACTCTTTAAAAGAACAAGTTCAAATTTACTATTTCATATAATCACATCACAAGGGGTGATCTTTTTGTAATTAACCAAAGATTGAAGGAGTTTTTGTGTCGTTACGGTTCTAATTAATTAACTTATGACAATTGAGCCTGAATTAAACCCAAACCACTGAGTATTCGACATGATACGACCCTGTTAAAGCGAGTTGACAGCGGTGTTTACAAATTTTGGGTCGATGTTTATGAATTTTGGTTGGCAACGAGATTTACACGCTTAAATCGACCCAGCTAAAGCGAGTTCAACTCTGTGTTTATGAATTTTGGGTCGACAATGAGTTTTACACGCTTAAATCAATGGATATTCGACCTAATGTCGACCCGGGTAAAGAGAGTTGAACTCAGTATTACCGAATTTTGGTCGAGCAAGTTTTTTGTACTTGGTGATCTATTGATTATTCTTTCCTTCGCTTATCGATCACGGGTATGATCATTTTGCTTTTTTTGTTGTTGTCTCCCCCTTGCAGATGATTTTTGACACTTTGGGGATTGTCTTTCACTTATCGTTCACAGTTAGTCAATGATTTTGGACACTTTGGGGATTGTCTTTCGCTTATCGTTCACAATTAGTCATTTGACCGGATTTTTACACGCTTAAATCAATGGGTACTCAAACAAGTTTTTTTGTACTTGGTAATATATATATACGTTTTTCTTATCCTAATGATCTATTGATTATTCTGTCATTCGCTTATCGATCACTGTTATGGTCGTGTTACATTTTTTTTGTCTCCCCCTTGCAGATAGTTTTTGACACTTCGGTGATTTTCCTTCAGTAGTTATCCTTCACATTCAGTCATTTGACCGGGTTTTTACACGCTTAAATCATGCTTAGTAATGGAGGCTTCCAAGACTTGAACATAAAATTTCTTAGTTGATAAAAACTTTTTGTACCGTGCATATAAAAAAATCAGTTAATATTATAAACTCCGAGTGATTATGAAGAGATAGAGTTATAGAGAGATGAATCGTTATAATTTTTTTTTACGAGAGTGATATAGGTTTAAATTTTGTTATTAGATACTGCTGAAAATATTCGAAATTGAAATCTTTAAGTCGAAAATCGACGATAAAACCGCTAAAACAAATTCTTGTTCACGATGAATCGTTATAAATTATCCCGTTGGATTACCTTATAGCTCTTAATAGGTGCGAGTGAGAGACCAAGAAATGGACAAAGTTCATACATTATATATAGGCAAAAAGGTGGCGACGACCCATGAATGATGGGGCAAACGGCGACGGGTCACAATTGGCGATCTATGTGTATTAAAATGATTTGACATGCTAATCAAGAAAGCTTAGTATTTGGTTTGGCTAACAACCGTGCATCAAAAGATTAACAGGCGATCAAGAATGTCGCAATCAGAATCTGGAAACAAATGATAGATTATGAGTTGGGGAAAGGTGGGGGGGTGGTCACATGACTTAAGCAACACTTTCTAATTATTGTTATTTGGTAAAGTAATCAGAATTGGATTAGGTGATGAAAGAAAGTCATTAGCTTTCTCCCAAATATACAGAAAGGGTACGTACGTAGTAGGGCAAGGAATTGATGGGATGAGTTTGGTCCCCCTGGGGCTGAGGGGCTTAGCTTTTCTTTAATCATCACTCTTCTCCTTGCTTTCCTCAACAAAAGAGGAACACCGTAGGGTCGCAAGAATGGAGGAAGCAGATGATATAACCCTACCAGCTTCCACCTTTGAATCCACCATTCTTTCGGCCGAATTCCTTTTGACAAATGACCAATGGAAGATAGTGTTCAATGCTTGCTTGCTTGCTACTAAGTAGAACAATAATAATGCTGCCTTAAGGAAGAAGTGGAACAAACCCTTGGCTAGTTGCCTTGGAAACCACTCCATCTATAGATACTTTAGGTTGCCTTCTTACCTAGGGAATTTGGGGAGGAAAGGAAGAAGAATGAGTGGGGTAGAAGTAGTAGGAATTATATGCACTAGTTCACTAGATAGGTGAGATGTTGATTGATGGTAGGCTAACTGGAGGAAATTGGTGGGAAAGGAGGAAGGGCTTGTACATAGAAGAAAAAAGGATATGGGATGGACAATGGTGATCAAATTAGCTTGAATTAGAAGAGATCCATTGTGAGTAAGAGGTTTTCTCTTTGTGAGTAGGGATGATCAGTGACTCATATCCAAACTCAATCAAATTCGGTCAAAACGGGTAAAATTCATGCTCCGTTAGTTAGTAAGGGATATAGTAATCACCAAAACACAAAGTCCACTATAGGTTATTCATCATGGGTTAGTACTCAAGTTTTTGGCGATATGATTGCTTGCACTCTCCCTAACTGTCTCCCATGTTATATACACATAGTTTACAGCTCCTACCAATCTTTGACAACTCGCAAACCTCTAGTCAACCTAAGTCCGACTTTCCAATTTTCATAGGTCACTCTCGTCTCTCAATTAATCTCTTGTTATTTTTTAGAATATCATAACACGGACACTCTAGTTAATCCCCTCAAACTCAATCCTGAAATTAAACATGTAGACCTACATGGCTACATCATATAAAAATTTTCGAGGTGAGGATGTTGGAGCCATTGTTTCTTTATTATTACCCTAATTATTTTTTGTTTAGTGTCTATGATAAAATTTTAGTTAATAAATCTATCACCATTTAAAAAATATTATATGTGAAGGTAATTTATTTTTATTTCTGAATACATACCATATCAAAATATTTCAGAACTGTGATACCAAATTATTTTTGAATTGATTTTAGGTTATTAATTACATTGATTGGTTAAGATAACAAAATAGCAGAGGGTAGTCTGGTCTATTCTCCAAGTGGAACAGTTTTACTCATATCTAATAATTATCACAATAATACGAACATAATTAAGCAGCAATCAAAAGTTGTAGAGCGAGCTAATCACTTAAATCAGTAAGAGGACGGGGGAGGGGTAGGAGGCGGGCTTCTGGGGATGAATGGGTTGAGTGGAGTCCCATGTTCGATTGGGCTGGTTTCACTGCCGCCTTTGAGCTTGGCACTGGATCTATCGGCCTGTAATCCTCCAGCCCAACATCCCCTGCTTCTTCTTCTGCCTCCTGCTGCTGCTCGGATTTCCAATGCTCCTGCGAGTAAACTTTTCTAAAATCATTTCATTCCTTTCCTTCCAAATCCTGTAATGTAGTATGTGAATATAATAATACCTGAAGCTTCCTGCTGCTAGTTGCTGCTTCTCCTTCTGCTGCCACCACCATCGTGTCAGTGTGCACGCCGAAGGCTGCTTCTGACAGCCATGAATACGAACAGACAAAAGAAGACATTATTTTGATGGCATTGGTTGATAACTTGCTACCATTAATTCATTCATCCAAATTTCCATATGCACAGAGATCTGATGTCCTCTTTCTGTTTCTTCGGAAAAGTAATGTACTCTGTAGATCCATTCAGAAACTGAACAGGGAAACCATATAACATGTAAAGGAAAAGGAGGTTCTGCATATTCAGCAGCAGAAAAAAGACACTTCTTTTCTTACTTCCTCGTATACATTCCAAAATAGGAAACAAACAAGAAGACAGTACCTGGAAGAAGAGTAGGAGTGATATGTGGTAATAATATGAGGCGAGGAAGAGAAGCATACCGGGAAAAGGTAATCTGGCTGCGCTGATGCATGCAGACGAGTTAAGTAGTAGCATCATTAATGCCATCCCAACTACCAACAGCAAGTTCATTACCCAGTTCCCAGAATTCCTCTTCATCGCCACAGAACAAATGTAAACAAAGGAGGGATTGGGAAGCTCTCTCTTTCCCTTTTTCAAGCGCCGGCAAGCAGTGGCGTCAGACTAACCAAACCAAAACTAGTGGTGTGGAGCGTAAGGAATGAATGCCAAAAGTCAGACGGGGAATTCCGTAGAGTAGAGATATACAAACAGGTTGTTAGTTGGAGTGAGGAGAAGAAGAGAAGTAGAGCTGGTTCAGCTGCAAGGAAACTAAATGATACCCATGAGATTTGAAAGGGAGCTGCTCAGCTGTAAAGAGTGAATGAGTGAAAAGGAAGGCCATGTGATGTGAGGGTGGGTACTACTGGGTAGTAATGGTTGGGAGTGGAAGCAGCATGGAGGTTTGTGTTTAATGCAAAAGCTTGACAGACAGCAAACCCCAAGAATGATGGCAATTGGCGGTAGATTTTCGAGCCACCCCCATCTCTCCCACTTTCTTTTCCTCTCCTCCACCTCTGCTTTCTTACTCACTGATGTTAGCAGCACTGAGTGCCAACTGTAGCGGAAGTAATCTTCCCTTGCTGAGACAGGACACTGCGTTGAGGCTTCCCCATGGCAGCAGCATTTAACACCCCGTGCGTGATCTGACATCTCAAGAGAAGAACCCGAGGTAAAATGAGAGGCAGGGGAGGGAGGTAAAGAGATAACAATTCACATATGTTTCTGCAAATGTCATCAATACTCAATGGACACATATGTGTCAAATGCCAAAAACATGTCATTGATAGGCCACCTGGTTTCAACGACCAAGCATGGCTGATAGGCCACCGGGTTTGAATATGTTCAGTGTGTGGAGTACAACGGTCAAGGATTGATAAAGCTGATCCTTAAGTTTTTGCCAGAGGAGTTTACGAAGTTGCAAATTTGAGAGTGGTTTCTGGTTGGGTTAAACATCGAGTCTAGTGTACAAGTTTGCTTCACTGGGAGCTTATGCACTGTTTTTGTTTTTGGAACAACAGATTCTGGCCAACTGCAGGACTATTCAAACTTAAGCTTCTGGATTGCACTACCTGAAAGCCCACTTGGGTTTAAAAAATGAGCACCCAACTCGATACATGATCTACTTTCAAAGCACACAACATCCCTACCACATCCACATGCCACTAACTATTTCAAAGCCACCAAGAGACAGGCACCAAACATATCCAACAACGATGCTTCAATTAAATATCACTGATGACAATTTGCAATCTAGTTCCAACAATATCATATCCAATCAAAATTATCAAAATCTTTCACGTCCGCTGGATTACATCACATAAAACTGAAAGTGATTACTATCAAGAGAGTACGCATCTCCATTGCCAGCAAGCTCTGTTAAGAAAGCCATCCAGCAACCAAAATGCTCCAATTACACTTAGCGGTACTGGTAAGAAAGGGGGAAACATTAGATCGTTAGGGTTTCAGTAGGATGATGAAATAACGGGCAAGAAACAATCAAGTACTCCTCACTGATGACTAAGAAAGGAAAAACACGAACTGAGAAAACAGCAAATAATCCATCAAATTTTTTGTTGAAGGCTTCTGTTTTCTACCTTTATGAAACCGATCTCCTTAGCGTTGCTGCGGAAGCACTGCCTGCAGCACATGAGCCCGTACTTCCTGATGATTGCATGAGGGTTGCCACACACACGGCTGCACAAGCCACAACATGGTAACAGAGTTAGAAATGGTTCCATCAAGCTAAACCTAATCCAGAAAGGAAATTCACTAAACGTTATTCAAATCAAATTCACTAAATTGTCAATCTAGACTTTCTATAATGTAAATGGTAGAAGAAGCACCAATGGTGCCCCCAATGGCCAATACAGAACAGAAATTCAACAGGAGTGAAAGAACTGATTGCAACATAGACCAAGCCATATACCAAAAAGGGTCAAGACGCAAAGTCATCATCCAAAATGGAATAAGGTAAGGCTAACATCCCTAAAAAGCAGGTTCTCTGGGTGCGGAGATAGCAGGTTACAGCATACATTTCCACAAACATAAAGAATCGGACCCATATCAGGAAATTAAACAAAAACACTAGTTCTACAAAGCAAATTTGAGTTCGATTTACTAAAGAATCAAAACAAGGCAACATCGAAGGGAACCCTAATGACCAGCGACAAAAACCCATTCGAAAAGCCGCAACAGCTATAAACGAAGCAGAAACGGATCCAGAAACCATTCGGTCATAGATGAACGGAAATCAGATGTAAGCCTGACACAAGAAGGAACCCATGAGAGAGAGAAGAAAAGGACTCACCAAGCCCTGGATCCAGGACCGTAGGTCTTGGGGTGAGAATTCCAGACGTTCTGGTGGCCCATGATTGCTTTTCTCGCCGAGAAAACTGCAGCGCCGCTCTGTGTTTTAGCTGGAAAGCTGGGGAGAAACAAGAAAACCCTAATCTGCAGCTATGAAGTGCGAACTCGGCTCTTTGTTTCGATTATATAGTGAGAGGGTTTGGGTGATAAGGATGGATCTCAATAGAATTGGTGTCGGTGCTTTCTTCCGAAGTGGGCTTTATGGAAACCAAGGAACCGCCTCACTCTGGCCCGGTTAGTTTCAAGTGGTGAGAAACGAAGCCCAAAGTGTATCTTAATGTAACTCAGTCCAATTCAATGGCCAGCGTCAACCCACCTTATACTGGTCTTACTCTTAGTTAGAGGTGTCAAAACAGAACCCGACCCGACTAACCCACCCGATCAACCAGACTCGCAACCCGCCCACAATTCGAATTGACTAAAAGTCAATAACCCGTAACTCGCCCGACTGGTAACCCAATTAACCTGAATCTGATTGACCCGCAACCCGATTAAACGTGTAATCCAATTAACCCGAATCCGACTAATCTATGACCCGACCGACTAACTCGAACTCCACCTAATCCACTTGAATAATTATTATATTATATAATACATAGTTTTCAAAATGAAGTTTTTCATTCTAAAGTTAGATAAAATTATTTTTCCAATTCGTATAGGGAATTTAAAAACATGAAACTCCACTTGATATTGTATTTTAATAAGATTACACAAAATTGAAACATGAAGGTCGCTTGAACACTAAGTTCTTTAATATTAAAAAAGTAAATACGAAATATAAAATGAGAACAATGTCATATTGATATTGAAGATAATATTGATATCATGGACAATTTAATATAATATATAAATTAAATTTTTGGTTAATTTAACTATCCAACAAAGTTATCGATTAATATAAATAGAGTAAAATAATTTTATTTGGTAATTTGATGATTTAAAAGTAAAGAGAAATTTAGGTGTTTCAACTTTTTTTGGAAGAGAAAGAGATGAAAATTTGGTGCTTTGTATTTTCTAGAAAAGACACAAGGAGAAGTTTGGTGGTGGTTTGATTTGTGAGAAGAAAAAAAAAGTTGGGAAAGTTTGGTTATTTTAATTATGAAAAGAGAAATAAGAAGGGAAATTTTGTGTTTTCATCTTTTTGAAGAAGGAAGAGGGAAACTTAGTTCTTTCAAATTTATGGAAGAGAAAAAGGTGGGAAAATTGATTGTTTCTAATTTATGGAAGGAGAAAGAAGGAGGGAAATTTTAGTGTTTTCAACTTTTTGGGTTTTCAAAATTTTAGCCTTTAAAATATGAATCTTTAGGTTTTTATATGGAGGGCATGACTAATTAACTATATTATGCTCTTATATGGAATGACTATTTGAGTATATTAGATTTGAAAACCTATAATAAGTTATCTTATCTTCAATATATTATCACTCGAATTATATCAAATGCATGTTATTTTACATTATAAATCATATACTTAATTACTTATAGATCGTATGCTTAATCAAGTTTTTTGTTCTAAACTTAGACAAAATCATGTTTAGAGTATAACAAAGATCCCTCTATGTTTTGAAATCAAAGTTTGAATTTCACTTATAATTAAGGGTTAATATATTTGTGTGGCTTGAACTTTTCACATAAATAAATATCCTGGCCAATCTTTTTGATCTATAAAATCATGGCTTGAACTATACACCAAAGTAACGAAATTGGCCAAACCCAAAATTTAACCATTATCTTGGATGGTCAAACGCATTGACTAACGGTCAACGCGCCACGTCACCGGCAAGTCAGCACCTTTCACTTAATTTTTTTTATATTTTCCACCTATTACTATTTATTTTTTCCATTTTGAATTTAAAAAAATTTAAAATTTGCATAATATGTTTTTAAAATTTTATTTAATTATTTTTTCATACAATGTGGAATCCATGTCATCAATATTGGGTGACTGGACAATGACGTGGCGCGTTGACCGTTAGTCAACACGTTTGACAGTCTAAGATAATGGTCAATTTTCTAGTTTGGCCAATTTCGTTACTTGTGTGTATAGTTCATGCCATGATGTTATAGATAAAAAAGATTGGACATGATGTTTATTATGTGAAGCATTTAAAAAAAATGTTTATTATGTGAAAAGTTCAGGCCATACAAACATATTAACCCTATAATTAAATATAGTAGCAAAATCATAAGTCATAATAATATATGGTTAGGGTATAAGATATATGATTTAGGGTATAGCAAAGAGGAAAATTTCCCACTGTACACATGTTTTTTAAAAAAATTCTCAAAATACACATGTTATGAAAAAAATTCCCAATCTACGCATGTTTGGGCCTTCACCGCGTCAGACTAAGGCGGTGATTGCATCACCGCGTTACAGGAAAACGGTGACTGCATCACCGCTGTAGAGGAAGGCGGTGATTGCATCACCGTGTTAGAGGAAAACGGTGAAGGCCTGACCTGCGTCAAATCTTTAAAAAAACGTAACTTTGTGCTCGGTTATCCGATCGTGGTGAAATTTTTTTTGATTCCGCATAATTTTTCGAGATCTTGCAAGCTGCAAACCGCCATTTGGTCCCGCCTTCGTCCCGAAAAAAACGTCGTTTGCTACCCCGAACGAGCATTTATCGATTTCGTCAAACTTTGAACGACCATAACTTTGTGCTCCAAAATCCGAAAATCATGAATTTTTTTTTTTTATTTTGCATAACTTTTTGAGGACTACAATTTTTATCATAGACATAATTTCGGAATGTACTTGGATTCCTGAAAAGGGAAGGTAAACTTATTCCCAAAGCCCCGTATATCCAAAATAATTCATTTTTTGAAAATTCTCTCCTACTAAAAATTGTAGTCCTCAAAAAGTTATGCAAAATAAAAAAAAATTCATGATTTTCGGATTGTGGAGCACAAAGTTATGGTCGTTCAAAGTTTGACGAAATCGAAAAAATGCTTGTTCTGGGTAGCAAACGACGTTTTTTCGGGACGAAGGCGGGACCAAACCGCCTTTGGCGTTTGCGGCTTGCAAGATCTCGAAAAATTATGCGGAATCAAAAAAAAATTCACCACGATCGGATAACCGAGCACAAAATTACGTTTTTTTAAAGATTCGACGCAGGTCAGGCCTTCACCGCGGCCGTTGAATGCGGTGAAGCTATCACCGTGTTTGTCTACAACGGTGATGCAATCACCGTGTTTCTCTAACGCGGTGATGCACTCACCGCTCTTCTTTAACGCGGTGAAGCAATCACCGCCTTAGTCTGACGCGGTGAAGGCCCAAACATGCGTCGATTGAGAATTTTTTTCATAACATGTGTATTTTGAGATTTTTTTTTTAAAATCATGTGTACAGTGGGATTTTTTCCTAGCAAAGATCTCTTTTAATTTATGTTTTGAAAATCAAAGTCCGAATTCCACTATAAATGAACTATAGTAGCAAATCATAACTTGTACGACTATATGGTTAGGGTATAAGGTAAGTGGTTAGGGTATAAGGTATATGGTTTAGGCCTTAGGGTATATCTTTAAGGTATAACAAATATCCTTTTTTTAATCTACGTTTTGAAAATCAAGTCTTAATTTCACTTTAAATTAACTATAACTACAAAATTGTAACTCATAATGATATATGGTTAGGGTATTAAGTTATAAGGTTTAGGGTATAGGGTATATGTTAGTGTATACCAAATATCATTTTTTTATCTATGTTCTGAAAATCAAAATATGATTTCCACTTTAAATTAACTATAATAGCTAAATCATGACTCATAAGAATATATTGTAAGGTATAAGGTATATTAAAGTTCACTACACCACTTTTCCACACGAGTTAGATTTCTCCCCGCTTTCCCCTTTCCAATTTAGATTTCTCTCCAAAAATTTCCCCATTTCTTCCTCCCTCCAAGAATTTTCCCATTCCCTCCCCACTCCAATTTAGATTTCCCTCCAAAAATTTTCCCATTTCCTCCCCCTCAAATTTAGATTTCCTCCACCCCACAATTTTACTTATATATTTTTATGATACACTATATAATTTGTGGTTGGATTAGGACTATTGGATGAAAAAATAAAAATGTTTATATCACCATAACTATTAACTAGTGTGCTTTACCGATTTACGGTGACAAGTTTGCAAGTCATACAACATGATTCGATTTTTTTAACTTCAATAAGTACATATAACATATTACATATATGATGTGGAAAGAAATAGTCTAAAAATTATGATTTTTTTAAAAAAGAATAGGTTAATAAAATGTGCAAATTGCAGTTACGAGTAGGAAGTAAGTAACTCAATGCGCTGACTAAAAAACCCGCAACCCGAACCGCCCCGAACACGTTCGACCCGCAACCCGATTGACCCATAACCTGATTGGCCCATAACCCGACTAACCTAGAACCCGATTGACCCGCAACCCGACTGACCCACAATCCGACTAGCCTGAACCCGACGAACCCGCAACCCGATGGATCCGAAACCCGACTAACTCGTAACCCGATTGAACCCAACCCAAACCCGCCTGAACCCGCCCAATTGATACCTCTAGTCTTAGCAACAATGCAACCATCAGGCGTTGCATCATTTTCAATGAAAGAATCATTAGGGTGGACCTCATCGACCTTGTATTCTCTGGCGCTCGGTTCACGTGGACAAGACGGGAGGAGCCAAATTGCCGCAAGGCCAACCGGATTGACCGATGTCTTTGTAACACGCTGTGGAATCAGACTTTCCCCGCTACTGCGGTCACGCATCTTTCGCTAACATTTCGATGCAGACGTCCTCGACGACGAGCACTCGACCCTTTTGCTTTGAAGCTGTCTGGCTGACTCACCGCTCATTCTCCTCCTTTTTAGACGATAATTGGGATGTTTCGGCCCCTCTCCCCGAAGCCCTGAAGGCCCTCTGTGGAAAGCTTCGATTGTGGAATGCCTCCACTTTTGGTAACATCTTCCAGAAGAAAAGGAGATTGCTCAACAGAATTATTGGAATCCAGACAAAGCTCGTTATCCTTCCTTCCGGGTCTAGCCAAGCTTCAGGAGAAGCTTGAAGCGAAACTCGACCAAATCCTTGCTCAGGAAGAACTGCTTTGGTTCCAGCGCTCCAGTGAGAAATGGGTTCAATTTGGCAAACGGAACACCTCCTTTTTCCACCAGCAAGCTAACA